TTTGACACTCCACGAACAGGAGATCTGTGCAGAATATGTTAGCGATCGAAAGCCAAATTTCCGTTAGGTCATAGTAGTTTCGTTCGCTAGTCTATCTACTTCTTCCATTATCGCTGCTGAAACGTCAATACAGTGTTCACCTTAACCCATGATCCCAGTAAGAGCGGGGTTAGCACTGGCTCCATATTTGCGAAGTCAATAGACATTGTCTCAGCGAAACAAGCAAATTCAGCTGGATAATTTCTCCTATATGAGCTGCAGCAGTATGTTATCTTCATACCTGATAGGTTTGAGCTCGTGAATGCATACCCTTGATAATACACCTTGGTACGTCCGTCACGTGCTGTGGACGCGGATTGCGATCTTGTTGCTGAACGTGGGACAGCCGTAGCACTGATAACGGGGTTGAATGACGAGTGAGTAGGCAGCAGACATGGGGTATTCGTTGCAGATTGTGTCGGAGATGAAGTCGTCAGCGACGATGAAGTAAGCGCTGGTGACAAAAACGGTTGTGCTTCTTCTCCTACAGATGACGCTGGCCCAAGGGAAATGAATACACAGTCGCGACTCGAAGATTCTGATGAAACTTGCTCTTCGGACGCTGTTGGGCCACTACGGTTGCCCCGTGACCGACGGGAAGTTGGTGAAAATCTTGCCTGACCATGTCGACGAGGTGGATCAGCGAGACTTGCGTTTAGAGCTGAAGTTACACCTCGGGGGTCTATCCGACGAGCCATTGAGCCGGCGTGGCGTAACTGGGGTTCGTTTGAGAAAGTGAGGGTCAACTTGCAGGATCACAGCCACCTGTCGTATAAGACTAGGATGTATATGTTACAAAACGACCCTGAATAGCACTTGCAGTGACCGGATGTGTTGCTATTAATAGACACGACCTAGATAAATTGATGACGTGACCTATGCTATGCATGCGTGACCAATTCAGTACTTTTGAGCGTGACCAGATGTCAAAATTGGAACTTCGTGGAATGTGCTTAACGAGTTAGACGAAAGTGTTGACAGGTGCAGCTATGCGGACGGTGTAGTGTGGACGAGGTCATTTGTGCGTCCCCAATCCAAGTGTGATATGCAATAAACCGTAGTAAACAACACTTTATAAATCGTATAGTAGCATCGATGTCTGAATAGAGGATGG